GCAAGCAAGGCTGCACGGGTTGCCGATGAGGAGTTGGTTGAGCAGCAAAGCAGCGAGGGGGAGGAGGAAGAGGATTATGACAGCGACGGTGATGCAGTCGAGGAGGAGGAGGAGGATTGCAGCGAGGAGGAGGAGAACAGCATGGGGGAGGAGTAGCGTATTTATCCAACTTGCCACAGCAACGAGCCACGTGTTGCTCAGCAGCACACCAGGTGGTGAGTGAAGTAGGTTGCCCAGATCTTTGGCCTGCCTGGTTGGCAGCCAAAGCTGAACCCTGGGAGTGCTTCAGGCTAGCAGGCCAGCACCTGCATGCGGTGAGGGCTGGGGAGCCTGGCCGTCTGCGGCGGCACAGCGCTTCTCAGCATCACCACGCCCCGATGTAACGCCCGCTGTGTCCCACATAACCATGCAGGAGCGCCAGCCCCTGCATGGCCGCACCGCCGCCTGGCTTCACGGCGGCGACGCTGACGTCGGCACAGCAAGCGCAGCAGGGCCGCAGGCGTTGACTTCATGGCAGTTCCCGCAACCAATCCAGGTGGGACACCGTGCCACGGCTTGCCTTTAACCCTCGCCAGGGTGGGTCGGGTGGGTCATGCGAATGCTGCCGCAATTCCCCCCCGTCTCTTGCACCTGGTGCTAGCAGCGTGCACTGGGGCAGGAAGGAGCAGAAAGCACTGCCCTTGCTGCCTGTGGCTGCTCCAGGAAAACCTGGGCTGCCATTCAAACCCAGTGCCAGCAAGTGGGCCCATGCAAGGCTCATGCAGGCCCCCATTCCAGCGTGGCCAGGGCTCTGGTGGCTGCCTGCCCCACTGAGCTGCTTGAGGGCCGCTAAACGCCTTGTTCAGCCAGTGTGCTGCTGCTGGCCGTGTGTGGCTCCTGTGGCAAGTTGGCCAAATTGTATTATCCAACTTGCCACAGCAACGAGCCACGTGTTGCTCAGCAGCACACCAGGTGGTGAGTGAAGTAGGTTGCCCAGATCTTTGGCCTGCCTGGTTGGCAGCCAAAGCTGAACCCTGGGAGTGCTTCAGGCTAGCAGGCCAGCACCTGCATGCGGTGAGGGCTGGGGAGCCTGGCCGTCTCCCCAACCACCACCCTGGCCATCCCATTTACTAATCGGGGCCATCCCAAACGGCTAACAAGCCGCTCCCACCCACAGGGCAGAGCAGTCTGGGCTGCGTATGACCCCACTCAATCCAGTCCTTGTCACTGCCTTTCTGCATTCTGCAGGCTGGGGTAGCCGCACCCAGCCGTCTGCCCTCCAGCATGGCGCTGCTGCGGCAGGAGCGCCTGGGCAGGGTGTTGGGGGCCGCCGCCGTCCCGGCCCCCACCCCACGCCGCCAGCTAACGGAGGTGTTAGCTAGCCGGCAGGCCACCCTTCGGAAGGTGGCAGCAGTGCAGCTGGGAGCCCGGCGCGAGGACACCCAGACCCGGGCATGCCTGGCTGCCCGGGAGCTGCAGCGGTGGTTGAGCTCCCTCGCGGCGGAGCTGGGCTACACCATGGAGACCATCGACCCCGCGGGCGTCCTCTGGTTCACCCAGGAGCATTGGCTGCGGCACCATGGCGGTAAGCCCCCGGCAGGCAGCAGCCAGCACCCAGGGGTGGGCTGCAGGCACAGGCCTGTGCCC